ACATATCACTTCTCCACTAAGCAATTAAAAGCAGCTAACTATAATTTCCAAACCTGTAACAAATCCCAATAACGCAGATTTACCCTGATCTAACAGTATACCTATTTCACTACTCTTCGATGAAATATTTAGAAGTCAAAAACAAAACTACAAGGAGATGTGACTTGAATTGTTTTTGGTTCATTGTTTGAGTTCGCGTCCGTGCTTAATAATTTATCTTCACCTAATTAATTACCTGACCTGAGATCGAAGACGTTCAGGCCATAAGGCTTATTTTCTTTGTCATATTCTTGTGATAATTTTACCGCTATTCTAATCTTGAATAGCTCCAATTGCTTCAGCATGAGAGTAATTTTTGACTGTACTACTTCATTATCTGTTTACCCAAGCGTTCCAACGATAAACCGCATATTTGTTGTAGAATCTTGTAAGATCCCAAAAAGAACATCTTAAAATTCATACACTTTTCACTCTCCAGAACAGTTGAACATCTTCCATGTTTGAGATATAGCCTAATCGCTGCGGGAAATGAATGGTTAAACTGACTCAAAATACCAGAAATCTTAAATTCTGCTCGTAGGAATTCATAATCGAGTGGCAAGAGAAGGTTGCCTAGGACGCGGACGCCCGCTGCCTACAACTTTATGCTCATTTACCGTAAAATCAATTTTTCAGGCAGACTTCGCCGATGAACAGTTAAAGTTGGTATCGGTGAATCGGAACGACCACCGAAAATCAGTGATATTTCTCATCTTACTCGATGTGAATTGAGACTGAACAGCTTACCTGAAGATCGAGGCACTCTTGTAGTAGTTCTGTATCCAAACGGTGTTACTTTACTAGATAAGTCTTTTGCATAGGCATTGTTCACCCACGCTAAAAGTTCATCCACTTTTCTCGCTGGCGATTTACTAGGAGAACTTCTTAGGTATCTTTCCTGTACATCCATAAAGTAAAATTTCGGCGTCGGAGAAAGTAGGTCGGAAGGACGCCGTCGATAAGTCGTAGAGCTTCGGCCTCCTTCAAATTGAGCGATGTAAGCTTCTAGAGCTTCAGACGCCGATTTGTAAACTTTGTCATCAAGCGCTAGGCGACTTTTGAAACCCTGATTTGGCTCATTAACTTTGCCAGTAGCACTATGAGAGGAAAAATTCATGTGAGTCTGAAAACAAACACCTAGTTGTATGAATAATGAGTAATTCCGAAGTCGTTGCGATTCGAATGATGGCGGCAAAACAATGTTCAAGTTCACTGCGCATGTCAAAAGGCACTTAGTTAGTGAAAGCGAGTTTTGCCTCCTCTTCCCTGTCCACGTCTAAATGAGCTAGAGCACGCTTATGGGGAACATTTCAGCCCAGTTAACAAGATCTCAAACTTTCGCTTAGAGAAAGTGGTGAAGTAAGAATGGGAGAACCGAGAAAGCCATGTTTACCATCCTCATATTAAGAGGCCTTAAGACCAAATGTGGACACGCTTGCGTAAGCTGACCATAGCGAGGAAAGCCAAAATCATATCTAAGACCAGCAGGCTACGAACTGATTTTATACTGCAAATTAGCTTTGAGAAGGGGGAAGGACTGGACAGAGGAAAATTTGCCTCACGCCACTTGCTTCCTTTGAACTGCGTTCGGGTAAATTTAGACGAAGGAAGATCTTTCTTTGATTCAAACGACCCAAGAAAATGTCATCTTGTGAACGGAACTAAATCAATAGCGAAGAATCAAAGACTCGTGCGATAGCCTAATTATGAACGTAAGTTAATACCATTGGGCCTTTAGAAGCTGAGGGCCGAGTTCAATTAGGAGTTACCCTGCAATCGTAAGCTACCTCATCAGTATTTTCTACGCTGGTCAATTTTTATTGTTTGATTCAAGCTTAAACTGATCATTACTCATGAAAGTTGACTACAAGACACCAGCCTTTATGCCTAGGTGCCATATGCAAGTAACACGTATTTGAGCGCGGTCCTATGTGGGTGTCTTTTAAATCGATCGTCGGGTCAGGGCAATAGTTTTTAGGTGGATTTTGAAGAGGGAACTACCGGTAAAAGTAGCCGCTAATTTCACAACTCTTCGCATCCTAATTAGCTCACAAGATACCTGGGTATTACCTAAGTGAAAAAAAGTGAGAAAAATTAGCTAATTTAATTTTTGGGTGTTTTCTAAAACAATTTTCAAGCACACTATCACAAAATTTGAGTCTCAAAGGGGTTAACCGTTCGCCGTAAAACGAAAAAAAATGTAGCCGTTGGGCGTAAAAATTGATATATTTTAGCCCTTAGTCGTGAAAAAAGTAAACCTCAAAAAATTTTTCTTTAACTGAGACGGAGTAAAATTAACCGCTAGCCGTAAAAGACCCTCAAAATTTGCATATTGTACAACATAATGAGTATATCCAATATACTCATTGAGAATATCCAGTTTATGGTCCAATGTCAACATTCCTGTACCGACGAAACCTGCATTAACTCACACGCGATACAGCTAGCTAACAGCAAACACAAATATAAACGTAAGCATGGAAGTGTGCTACTCAGCCACAAACTTCTTACAAAATGGCCACGTGCAGTAAAAACGTATCTAAGACTAAGAACGTCACGTGGGTTGAGAAAAGTTTTTTTTTTCCGACGTGTTAGGAACCGTGCTGCCAGAATCATCTTTCCTGAGTGCGTTCATTGAATTTATACTAGAAACATTGTGTCAATTGTACCAGAAACACAACAGAGGATGACATCTTTTATATTTTTCTTTGTTTTTTTTATTTTTCTAGTATGCCATTACAAACGTACCTCTCTTACCACACGGTTTCCTATAAATTGAAGGCCAAATCTAAGTTTAAGTCAGAAAACAAAAACGCTTTAGGTTTTGAAGCAATTCTCATCAAAATCTGTTAAGGTACGTTTTTAACAACAGGAACGCTTTATAAGACAGTAATGATAACAGCTTTATAAGTTCAAAACATTTTACAAAGGGTGCCCAGGGCAGCTGTTAAAATTGTTAAGAAAATTAAAGGGTTAATATCCTATTATCAGCATTCTTTTATAAGTTTAGTGTTTTTTTCTTCGGGACTATTTCTCGTCAACAGATGCCCGCTTTTCTTGCGTGGCATCCAAGGACCGATAGATAAGTATTTCATGCAATAGCCGCAAGCCCGTTGGATTCGTGATAGTGCGGTCGTTATGAAGACAAACAACGATTCCAATTATTAGGTGCCTACGGTTACGAAGCTTGCGATGAATGAATGACTTCAATACACAAAAGGTTTGCGGTTGCTTGTTGCTTCTGTAGTAGAATCAGTATATTGAAACTCTGGCACAAAATGGGAAAGAAAACTTCATTAACAGCTATCTTTCCAATCAGTATTCCGCATGGTATTCAACTGTACTTCTCTAGAGAATCTTATCTCTAGTTCCCTTAGGCACGAGGACACTTTAATGCGGAGGTCAGTTCTGCTACCTTCCGAAATAACTCAATTAACAATCATTTTTGCATTTAAATACGGGAGCTGTTTCATAACAAAAATGATAATACATTTCGCTAGTTGTCTGCAGGAGAGCCGCCTAAATTTTCTCGGCCCTAATAACATTACACACTGAAACGTGACACAATCATTGATTGGAGCTTGCACCTGTCCACACGACACGTCATTACTGCTGTGGACACTTTACTAATCAATTTAAAATAACTTTGAGTAAGACATTTAGCTGGATTGAGTTCTTATATTTCCTATTATTGAATTATAACTGTTTTAACTTTGATTTCTAAGGGTGGTGAATGAAATTATCCGAAGACTAATATTCTGTCTGTTTGATGTGCAGTTTTCTCTAATTAACCTAGCACGTGGTTTGATTGACTTTCAACTGGCTTGGTTTAGTAAAATATGGAGAAGAAACCCTCGCTAAGTAACTATTTTCAAAACGCTAAAAAAACAGGGTAACACTTTTTCCTTTTCTAACGCGAAAAAGTGATAATTTGAAAATTCAACTGCATGGATCATTAATGCACAGCAGCTCCCAAGTTGGTACAGAAGTTTACATTTCTCTCGTTCTGGATTGCTCCTCATTAGAGTTATCGAGGGTGCTGACTATGAACTAATTAACTCTAAAATAACAGCGATCTTATTTGTTTACTAAGAGAACAAAGTATAGGACAATGGCTAAATCTACCACTGTTGACTGATCGCTTATTACTCTTCGATTGAGAACCTCATGATTCTGATGTGCAGAGAAGCTCTGAGTCGAATGATTGGATGTGCTACTTAAAAAATACATGCTTATGTCTGCTCCTAATGTGTCATGCAATCGGTTTTTAAATAGATGATCTGATAGGAAAAAGTGAGTGGTAATGAATTCATAATCAAACTATACTGGAGAGATAACAACAAAACTACTGACCGAAACATATCCACCCATACTGATAAGCAGACAATAGCAATACCCTTTTTCATTTCTTTTGTCCCCCAAACTGTTTTCTTTGTTTCTCAATTTCATTCGAAGGACCGCGTAATGAGTCACGAAAACATGAATTCGGCAAATTTTACCAAGGATTTTACTCCACTACAGCACTCGAAAGCACACGTTAAACGAATGACGATTACGCGCATTTACTAAATTCACTAGAACAGCAATAACACAAAACGAAAAGGGTGAAGTAAATTAAATGGGTCGCTGATGTAGCAGCTTTCCCCATTGTTAAATAGGTGGATAGATAGAAATATAACTAAACAAACTTCCACCCCTTTCGTTAGTGTTGACGACAGATGCATCTACATTCCCCTATGTTTGGTAATGTTATCATATTGGCCGATGCTTCCCCATCTGTATCGCCTTATGTCCAACCGAATTGATTTTAAATACACGGCCACAGATTGAAAAAAGATGATGCTTTTTTTTTTTAGCTAGAGAGCGTGAGTTACCTAAAGCTTTATGTGAAGACTTAAATAGTTCATGGAAGTTCTTGTTTTTTGTAAATCAAAGTTGACACAAACTCGACAGAATGCACATGATTTTCCAGTTTATTGTAACACTGATCAGTTTACTCATAAGTTTACATAGTATTATTTCCGATAAATTCGTAAAGTATCATGACGGTAGTAACTTGTCGACATCGCCAGTGTCCTACGTCAATCGTCTTCCTGTGCTTGATAATCGCAATCCAGATATCGTGCGGCCTCACACAGCGTTCGACGGTAACTTTGCTCCTAGGAACAGCAGAGATAACGTTTTTCCCGTTGAAGCGAAAGTCTCTTTTAAAGCGGAAACATAAAAATGGTTATTGGTCCTTGACGACGTTAATCTTAGGGAATGTATTTCGGATAAAGGTTATCTTACATTAATAACTTGATTTAGATGTATTTTCACTTCGAAGTCTTTCACGAAACGCGTTGAATATGTGTTGTTACAAACGTATTTTAAGTTTGTTGAATGCCTTTACTCCATTTTCAGTACCTTTAGGTATACGTTTGGTCAATAAGGACATTTTTCTTTTTCCCACCTATGTGGAAATTCTTTTGAAAGGGCAGCTGGGGAGTAAACAGTAAAAATACGTGAATCATCGTGAAAATCAGGCAGTTACCTTATTGAGAGCGACGCTCTTAACTTTCTTGATACTTCTTCCTTTCGAGGGGCTCCATGGTACCGCAGCATCACTCTCCTGCATTCCTGAGGCCACAATTAGAATGGCAACTATCACAACTACAGCCTTTAAGTTCATCCCTTTTTATCTGGTCTCGACAGGTTATTCTTTGGTTCTATGCACACTTCACACTCTGGTTATAGCGCCTTTTTCCTTGGGTATTTATATACTTTTTACGTGTAGAAATGATTCGACACGAACATGTTAATTATTGCTGATTGACAATAGACTTACCGCAAGTTATCATAATTATTTAACTAGAGTGGATAACAAAGGTGAAAATAACTATTATCAGCATTTGATATCATGAAAAAGAAACATTAATAATGTACGATGAGACTGCTAAAAACGTCAAATCAAAGAATCCGTTATTGCTGAGGAATAACGCCTGAAATGTTATGATTTTAGTTGGAGTCCTCACTAAAATGCTGTCAGTTACGACGAGAAACCTAAGAAAAGACAACCCTATTTAAACAAGAAAATGTTATCTAATATTTTAATGTGGCTTGCTTTTTCTATTTTTGATGAGGAAATTTGTCCAAATTACGTTTTATTGCAATAGTTACTGGGAGCGCAATTGTTTCCATGTGGCAGATTAACACTTGTGAAACCTTAACCATACTCATTTAATGACTCGGTACCGAAAATGCTTTGTAAGATTTTTACAACAGGGTTCCAGGGTTATTTCAGCCATTTATTCATCATAAAACACCGAAAACTGACAGTTTAGAGTCTTAGGCAAATCGTACAAATCGTACAAATCCAGCAACGATATAGGCGAACGTTAGATTAAGATGACCTTTTTCCAGTTTTCTCCTGGTATTAGCCGTTTGCGCCGGCTAAAACAGCTTTCCTGTGAAAGACCCTAATCATATGCAGGGTATCGAGGTTGTAATCCGCCGCTGACTTAATTTCCATTTTACGCGACGAAAAGGGACTTGTTTCAAGATGGAAGTCCTGATATCAACTTCCTTTGTATAACTCGCTTTTTCTTACAAGAAATGGTCTTGTTTACTTTTCTATAAGTTTCTTAAGATACTACAAGTAAAATTTTGTTCCTTCTCACTCTTGTAAGACATGCGTTTTTCCATGGGTGCCGTTAAAGTTTAACATTTTTAGCCCTATAAGATCACAGATGAAATAGGCCAAGACTGAACGAAATATGTCATTTCAAAAACTACCAACTCCTGAAAATATTTTCAAAAAGATTATGGGTCCGAGAAGTTTTCAAGTCTTTACCGAAAGGCACGCACGCCAGGCGCTCGAGAAAACCACTTTCAGAATCATTTTCCGAATTACTCAACAACCCTGCTGCTCTCTGAAGACGCTATTTGTTATTGGGTGAAAAGCTTTAGAATGCGCGAGGCAGTCAAAATAAAGACGCTGTGGCCTGTTGTTAACACTTTTGTACCAGCTGTTGGTTTGCTTTATGAGAACGTAAATAATAACTATTCGTAACTATCCGCTTCCCGACTAGATTTCAATGCTACATAACACTCAAGGATATCAAAGAAATATATATGGAGTGACAATTAAGACGCTTGGTTTCCTATCAAAATTGAGTTGCCACACAAATCTAGCACTTGCCAACTCTTTGAGAATTCAGTGAATGTTTTGAAATATATAACCAAACCTAAGGACTCATTTTCTTGTCAGTCGAAAAGTAATGGTGGGAAAAACTCATGCAATGATTCTAAAAAGTTTTCCTGCCATTGTTATGTAAAAAGTTTTGTTCATAAAAACTCAAAGAGGAAAAATGCGTTATAGTTTTGGTTTTACTTATTTGATATTTCCTTATGTTTAGAATTCTGCGACGTGTAGCCTTTACGGCGTTCTTGCCGTGGGGAGTTCCGAATACTCAGTTTTTCTATTTATCTTGGTTTAGCAGCAACCTTCATTATTTGTACGTTGGCAAAATGTTTTGCATCAGTCAGCTCACTGTTTTTCATATAAATTTACCATATTATATGGTGATTGCCGTAATCTTTCAAAAGATTATTAATGGTGATGAGATTGACGGGAATAAGATCTTTCGTCGTTTTTAATAAGAAAAATATGAAGCCAGTTTTCAAAAATGAAAAGCATTTGATGCCTCACACCTTTTTTACATTTGCTTTTTTTAAATATAAGATCGTAGGCCACAGACCAAACGGAATTGAAAGTTTCTGCTCTTTATCTGGTTAGCTTTCTCTAGACTTCGTTCGTAAACAATAATTCTTTATTTAACAAAAAGATTTTTATCTTTTGGATATCAAAAGAAATCTTACTATATGATGTTTCATGAAATATTTAAAGAGGCAAGAATGCAAAATCGGAGACAAAAGTACACATTTTAGGAATAATGTTTCAAAAGTGACGAAATTTCCTTTGGAAATGCTTTCTAGAAGTTGATAACCACTGGAGACCGACATCTGTGGCTGGTCTCCTACTTGTTTATTACGTGTTTAAAATAAAGATTATTCGAAAAAAAGTTACTAAAACAAAGCAAACGCGATTTTTGGAAGAGACTTTTAAGTACCGTTATCAGTCCACCTTTGCATACAGTCCCTTCATTATCGTCGTTAATTGCAAAACTTGCATGTTTTTGGGTTAATGATGTTTTTTTGTTTCACTTTTAAGTTAAAAAGTTGTCGTATCAAAGCCAATTAATCTTAGTAATCTATTTTCGTGTATATTTATCGAAATTGTTTTATAAAGTATTTGAATGAGGAAATTTTTGTTACGAAAAGAAACCTTCACTAATTAACATCAAAACAATAACCTAGCAGTGAAAATTGTTACAGGCGCTAAGACCCCAGAACTACTTTCATTTGGGCAGATGTTACCCGACACTCAACGAACTGTTACATTATTATTCCACCATCCTACCATTTCACTGGGAAAACAAGTACGTTAAAAATATGCGTAATACATTGTAAAACAGGGTCAAAATACGGGACGAAAACGGAGCAACAAAGACTTCGAGGCCGCGCTGAAAGAGGCTTAAGCATTTCAGCAACGAACATTTAAGCGCATCAGATCATAAAGAACACTAATGGTTTCTAAGTGTTGTTTTTCGTCTTTCGCGCCTTGTCCGATCGATACGATGCCCAGATAAGGCCGTAGGGTGTATTTCGAAAACTAGAAACCCAAATGCTAGAAAATGGAGTTACTAGCGGAATAGTGAACCCGTCATTCAATGACACTTTGCCCGTATTTTTACACGCCCCTCCGTGGCTTGGAAAACACAATACGTTACAACTCGCAAAATATCTGCGCGTATTCTATGACAAACCATTGAATAAGGTGTAGACATCCGATCTTTGTTGAGTACATGGAGTATTCACTGAAACAAGCTTCACCTTAAGGAAAGATGTAAAAAAAACTCCAAAGAATGAATTTGAACTAAATAGAACCAGGATGGTAAAGGATACCCCGTAAATGACGAGATAAAAATATTTTCCCAAAATTGTTGATGATATCAGCTGTGACTCAGCACCATCTGAGGGTGACATGATGATAGCAACACACTTACCGTCATTCAAGAGTTTTAGGCCAAGTTTATTTTTACTATGAGTTTAGTCATTCTTTCTAAAAATTCACACAGTTCTTGAAGCTTTTCTCTTGCTGGGCTAACAAAAGAGAGCCGAGGGCTTTTTTTTTTCCAATATCAACTAGCATTCTATTTTTTCACTGGGACTCTGATCCGTCTTCCAATACTCGACTACAATCAATGTCACGTACAGCTGCGCACAGGTTCCGCTTGTTGTCGAGTGGAAACTTCTAGAAAGAAGAAAAGCAGGCTGTTAGGCTTACAGGGTCCTCCTTTACAGCTTTTCAAATACTGTTTTATACACACGACGAATAATATGTTCCACTTTTATGTTGAGTCTACCACCAAGACTTCCATAGTCATTTTGTAATTAGTAAATTTGTTGCTAGCATTAAAAGGGAGCATGATTAACATGGTTCTCGGGATCTTGCCACTCTAATAGGTAAATTGAAGTACCAAACCTAAAGACTTAAAGATAATTTTTCGGTATTCAAAAACCATTTATAATAGTACCTTCCTATGCAACTCATTATCTTGATTTTCTCTCTTGGCCTTTTTGGTGGGAGTCTGCCAAAGTGTTCCGATTCCTTCAACTTCCTGTACTTGTAAGGTCAATATCACCACATAAAAAAGCATCAGGATGCAAACTGACTTCATCGTCAAGGATGTGTGTTACCTTTAGTTGTCTTTTGCAGGCTGCGACAGTGTTTGAAGTTGTGTTTCAATTCGTTTCAGTGGATATTTATAAAGGCATAGGTACCATTCAGTCGGCGGGGTATAATCAGATTTGTCGCGTATCAGTAGAGTTTGGAGCGTAAGCTACTTCCTAAGCGCTTTTATGAGAACATCCCTGCCGAGGAGAAACAAAGCATGTGCAGCCAGTCCTGTGTGTTTCCAAACATCTGATAACTCTCACTCTGTGGACGGCGACATAATTAAACCACCCACCGACAAGAAGCGCAACTTGCCACTTGTTCTCTATGAATGCTTATCACTAGCTAATGCTAATAATGAACCACACCTTACACATAGGAAGACAAACTTCAAGTGATTTTTCATATTTTTTTTCATTTTTGCTCCCACTATTCAATAACATATATATATATATATATATATATATATAGTATTTACATTTGCCTTTACATTTATTTTACATTCAGAGGTCACCACGAAATGATTCAAAATCATGGTAATATTCATATCCTATCGCTTTCAGTAATCTGGACGAAATATCACACAACGTAAAGTTCCAAGAGCTGCTTTTCGTAGACTTGAAAAGTAGTTTGAAAATATGCTTTCATTTTACACTTGGCTGTTTTCAATAAATCATCATCATTACTACTTCTCCTCTTAAGTGTTTGTAATAATTAATGAGATCTGTTAGTAGAACATCAACGACTCAAGATAACTATCAATACTTCGAGTTTTATGGTCAGGTGTTTTGAATGAGACGCTATGAACACTTGCAATTACCGATAGTCAATCCTCGAAAATTCAAGCAAACTAAATAACCAGCGTAAGGATTCAAACTTGCTTGATCTTATATGTCACATGCACTAGTTACTGATGAATTTCTTTGGAATCTAAATATGTTTGAGATCACACACATGAATTGCAGATAACTGGACATGCAGCTGCAACCCAAATCATAAAATTGTTTTCGATTTCCTTTGAAGTAATTCTGATATCTTTGCGGTCTCGTTTCTTATAAATAAAACACAGAAAATTCAAATTATTTTATTGCTTTTCATCTAAAATTAACTTGAAGTGTAAGCCTCAGGGTCCACCGGTAAGAGACAAACTTAATTGGTTTTCAACTGAAAAAACTGAAGGTTGACATGATATAGTATAACTTAAGAGAGAAACAGCCCGCCAAACTTCAAAAGCTTTCACTCTGAATACGTCTACCAACTGCTGTGACATTGTGTGACCCTATACTATTACTTACTTCTAGAAACCATATTCGCTTAAAAAGAAGGAGAGAATGACGTTGGACATGCGCAAGTCACGATTGTATTTTCTTTATTATGTCTCTATTTCTTCGAAAAATAATGACTATGGACTTTCTAATGAGTTAGCTTAATCGTTTCATTCCTTAGTAGTGTCATTACAACGTTAATAATTCAAACGCACGTTTCAAAAGATTTTGCCATCTTTTTAAAGCAGTGACAGACTTATGTCTGCTCTCGCCTACTTTGTGTTTTAAGGTAGTTCAAAAATCATTAACATTGCATGCACTCTGAAAATTGTAACTCAGTAAACTAATGTCGGAAATAGGAAGATAAAAATCTAACACACTCCTCATCAGTCAAGAACAGAAGGCCGCCAGTCTTAAAATAATCTGTAAATAAGTAGAAGTTGATCTGGAATAAGATCAAGCCTGTCCGCCTGTGGATAACGCAGAACCCCCTGCTGTGGATTCTCATTTCTGTTATTTACCTTTGGCATAAAGGGACCGACATTTTGTTTGCAATATCATTATAAAAAGAAGGAAAATCAACAGAGAGTTAGTTTTAGTGGTTGATCGGGATAGGTAAACAAAAAAAATTGCGAACAATAGAAAAACCTGCGGATCTAAATGAGCATTATTCAAATATTGTTTTGAACCAGGTGCTTAAAGAGTGACTTCCTTTTTTATTTCACAGGATGGTGAAACATTCAACTTCTCCAGGAGAACTCATGTTTAGTCAAATAAATTTTTAAGTATAAGCTCAGCAACTTGGGCATTTTCAATTACAACCAGTTTCACTACACCACTCTGCGAAATGTTTTTTGGAAGTTTGCATAGACACATTGGGATGATTTTCATGCTTGCACGAGTATCGTTAACTTAACAACTTTTCAGTTAGATTATTGATTGACTGTTGAGCAATTGGCTGCTTATGTCTTTTGTTTCTAATATCAGATGCTTTGATATGCCTTTTTTTTGCGTTCACTAATTTTTAATTCTCGTAAAAATTGGAGAGACAATCTGAAAGTGAACCAATTTCAAAAACTTATTTGTGTGCACATTATAACATTGAAGAGGTCACCTTAATCGTTCCAATGGTAAAAGGGGTACTATATAATGCCGTTAGAGCGAGTATTTTGTCAAGGCGCATATTGTGTCAAGTATCAACGTGCAGTGAAGTCAACAAATAGGTAAATTCAAGTGGCTGAGGATGGCAGCGAAAGTGACAACTTTGATTTTCATTGCTATTACACTGTTACTTCTGATATCTGAGGGTGATGGCTTCACTGGAACAGTTCCAGGGAAAAGGAACACCGCACCTGTAAGTTGTTTAAGAAGGAGAATTTGAAATAAAATGCCAGTCTTGTGTAATATTGTCCATTACTATGTTCTGCTACTATCTCTTCTAAAGCTAATCAATAACTTAACTAACATTTGTTCTAACTGAATGCTTAAGTTACTTTTTCCTAATCTGAATGAAAAAGCTTTTCTTCGTTTGAGCTGATTCTGTCTCCCTATGACACCAACAATACAGAAATATGGGTCTTTGCTAAGTTATTTTTTTAACATTAAAGTTATTTAATTTAGGGTGCTTCGCAGAACTACAAACGGAGTTTGTGCACCGCCGCCCGCAGTCTTGGTTGCAAACTGGAGGACGAGACAATGATGAGGAGAGGTTATTTAATGGAATAGTCTGAATCTTCGATATCGTAAAATCGCAAGGAAAAAGATTAAAGAGTAATGATGGAAATAAAACGATTACAAGGTTAAGTTCTAAGTCTGCTCTTCATTTGTCAGCCCTTTTTTAGATCTATTGGTATTCACAAATGTAGAAGCCTAAAAGAAAGTATCCAAAAACGATTAGACGTCTTAGGGAACTTCGCACGGCTCATCGTTAAAACCCAGCCAAAATATGACGTAACAGATTCCATGTTACTGAGTGACAGATGACGTCAAAATGTGGTAAGAACAAATAAGAGGCATACAAGCCGCAGCCAAGTGTGTCATTGACATTCTTACCACATTTTGACGTCATCTGCGATCTATAACTGAAAAGAAGCACAGCCGCATGAAATCTGTTTTTATTCTGCGCCTGTTTTACTACAGATCATAAGTGAGAACCAATTAAAGATGTTGAATTCGAAGCTCGGAAATAAAATGAACAATATTTTTTTCGTTTTGACACGAACGTGAGACACGTATTTGACCAGACGCAAAAACATATTTTAATTCATTTCTTAGCTTTCAATTCGCCATCTTTCTTGCGCTTTTGCCTCACAAGAGGCTCTCGACATCGTCGATCCTAGTAGGATACATGTCACATATCAACCCAGTGGCTCAGTGGTAAAGCCCATCCTAACGTAAAATTACATCATAGAGATATGATAATTCGGATGTATGTTCATTCTTAGTCGGCCTTTTTCCTTTACAAAATCGACGTTCATTAAAACAGGTAATTGGTTTACTCCATAAATTTATCTTTTGAAAGAGATTTTAGCGAGTAATTCACTTCACCTTCAATGTGAAGACATGATACTCGCTGAACACTCCTCAATCGACTGTTCGATGATACTTTTGCAAGAGAATTAAAACTCTTGATTTGTGTTGTTGAATTGTTACCGCCGTGAAAAAATAAAATAATCATTTTGATTTTCAATGGAATTGAATTGAATTCTCCAGGATGTTTTCAGAGGATGAATCTTTAAATTCTGATCCCAGATTTTCCTTTACTTTTTTTCTTTTGTGTGATTCAATAGCAAGCCACGGAAACAAGGACAATTAAATGTAGCAACCGTGTTTACCAATCTGCTTGGCCCATCGACGGCTGTTTCCGAAGATGTGCTGTTCAACACACCTTGTTGTCTTTCTGTCCCACAGTCAAAAGCATGTGCACCAGACGCAGAAGATGAATGGTCCTCTGTGATCTGCTGTGTTTTTTTGAGACCTGTTTTGCTGTAGACTAGCTTTTTCTCAGGTATTACAGTGACTGTACAAAGCTTGTCACATTCCGATAGGATTACCTTCCTTATTTCATTGCACTGCGTAATGATGTCAATGTTCTCTTGTGATTTCACCATATTTCTAATACAGATCATGTCCACACAGTTTCCAGCAAGTTTTAGTCCTCCATTAATTCGACATTGATCGAAATCCAAATTACTAACTTCATCTGCTGTAAATTCTACTCTAGCGAAGTTGCATTGTTTAGCGCACACAGTATGTATTTTAGCATCGGCTGACACTCGCACTACATGACAAGGCATGTCGAGTTTCTTTTTCCCTATATTAAGTAGAAGATGCACAACAGACGCACATTTTATCTCAATTGATTTGACTTGCGGTAGGGATATATACGCATCAAGGAGAACGTTACATCGAATATCCACGCAGCACTCTTGGTGTATAGAACCAGAGAACTCTCTGTCTGGGGCGTGATAGTTACACATAAATGACCTTAGTGTTGGACAGTGTACTTGCATGGTTTGCACTTTGCTAAAATCGGTTATCCACAGACACAGATCTGTCAAAACTCTACTGATTTCCACTTGGGAAACTTGAAAATCTACCAGACGTCCCCTGATAGTACAATGTTCAATTCTTCTGTTCATCTGCAGAAGTTTGTCGATCGTCTTTGGTGTAAGTGATTCGCAATTCGCAACCTCAAAAAGTTTTAAAGTTATAGATGTAACATGCAATGACCGCAGGTTGGCAAGATAGTTCAGGGACAAGTGCTCTAGCATGGAAGACACCACCTGAAGGGATTTCAAGTTGGAACATCTATTAATTCTCAGCCGCCTCAACTTCGGCATGGAACACTTCAAACGCACTATGTTTTTGGCCGGTAGACCATCCAACTCGAAATATTGCAGGGTTTTTGATTCAAGATATTGATAGCCTGTAATACAGCGGTGAATGTCAAGAAAGCAAAGTTTCAAATCCCTCAGTGATCGGAGAACTTTAAGTAAGAGTCTGAGCTCCTTGTGACCGATGGAAATGTAGCGAAGGTCTAGTTTTGTGATTATTGAAATGTAACTTGAAGATAACAAACACTTCATTAATTTCATAGTGTATCGATTCAAAGGAATATTTGCTTCACTGCTGTTATATGCAGATATTTGCAATTCTTTGAGATTACCGAGAGCGTTTAAAAATTCCATTAGAGCGCTATCTGTCAACCGGAGCATGTTGATAGACAGCTTCAAAACTTCCAGTTTTGTACATCGTGCTCTGACTTGTTTAAGATGTCTTTGGTTGATCAGTGACACCGGCTGTGTGTAGTTTTGCGTCCACTGAATGTCTGACAAATCCCAGAAGCCGTAAAGATTAAGTTCTTTTAAGCTTTCGGCGCTTCGGAAAGTTGTAAATTGTCCTAGGTTCCATGGAAAGGTTGGAATGTCAAGACAAGTTAGGTTTGTCATTTTCAATGTCACATGTCGTATGAAGAACCAAAAGTCGTAACCGAACACAACGTCTAAAGAAGCCACTCTAAGGCACTTGATATATACCTCATATTCTCTAAGGCATTTAAAAATGATGTTTTTCTCTCTTTCTGACAACTGACGAGTCTTCAGGTGAATATGTTCCCACAGGCAAGGTGAATTCTGGATGATTGCTTTCCATTCTTGACAAACGGCAGAAAGTCTCGGAAGCCTATCGTAAACGGGGTGCAGAAAACCAAAGATGTGCGTAAGCAACTCCGATGGAAGATTCTCCATTGTGGGCATATACCTTCGTTCGTAACATGTCGTGGATCGTATGATTATGATACCTTCTCCTGATTATTACGTCACTAACAGTGCTAGGAGTGCACGTGCTAATTTGATAATGACTATTTTAGAAGGTAAATTTATTGAAATGAGTCGGTTAGTCAAAAATAAGTCTAAATTCTGAAAGCAACTTAACTATATATAGAGTAAATAGGAAATTCTGCCGCGTTTATTAAAGATTTTTGGCCGGCCGTAAGAGAGTATCTTTAAACCTTGAATTCTTGTATTCTTTCAAACCAACAGCTTAGCCAGGTAACCCTTTTTCGTTTTATTTCTCAGCTAGAACTTTAATATCAATTTTCGACTTATTTATGTTTAGGGAGTGCACTGATAGTAACAAGTAGTCTGCACAAATGTTTGTAGGAAAAAGCATCACCCTGCACGCGGACGTTGAAACCTTCATGGTGTTCATATTGCTTCGAGATGTTTCTTCGAGAATTATGTTTTTATCAATGCTCTCCATGTTGACTACCTAATCATATAGTTATAGCTTGGTGACTAGTAGTTGCTTGAATGACAGGTAAAATGGAAACTTTTATAACTGCCGCACCTATCGACTGCCTCACAATATTCTGAAACGCCGAACGACAAGGCAACATCTCTATTTTTATGACAATGAGGAAAAAATTGCTAACTACTGTTTCGCTGAGGTATAGGGCAGTTTTCATTAATTTTGGCAATTTTTCCTGGAAAAATTACTCGTTGGGCGACTCGGAATATTTCTGAAACTTCTGAAACATGTGTGACATTAATTCTTTTAAGAATTAATGGGGCCGAGTTGAATTAAAATTCAACTCGGCCCCATACGATGACCTGTACTAATTTTGGCTCCAGCATTGACGATGTCACTGACGTCAAGTTGTAATCATGGATATATTTTATTACAGCGATGTTATTAAAGATACCTTGAAAGGAGTAGTTCAGTAAATAAAGCAAGGAATAATTATCATGAACATTTCATCGTAATGCGAACTTTGCAAAGATTGCTGGAAATCAACTTAACTTTTTCTTACTGTTAGGCTTAAAACATAATTTAATACAAATGACATGTGCCAATAAATCAGGCAATAAACACCTAGGAAGCAGTCTTATTCAATTATACCTTTATCTTGCCTTAGTGGTATTGGTTCGTTATGGTGCATCAGCCTGATTATCAGTGGAAAGGAAAACTCTTGGACCTCCTATAGCTATCTCACTGTGGTAATCAACTCCGAGTTGCTGAACAGCACCTGTCCTTTTGGAAATGCACAGATAATTATTAAAATGAAACTTTGAAACTACTTCTTTTTCAAATTGAGGAACATAAGAAAATAAGCCACGCCCTTGCTAGGGACGTGGAAAAGTTTTAAATGCCGGTGTAGGATTTTATCCTCTAACTTATGGCAAAGCCGTTATTAACATTACAACCCAGATCACTTATTTACTCAAAGCACAGTAAGAATATTCTATCACTATACAGGATGACGATTAATTTCATCAAAACTAGAGTTATTTAAATATCCAATTAATATGCGACTGATAGAACTTGCCGAGGTTAATTTTTTTGGATATCACATAGTATTTACCCGAAGTGATTTTAAATAATTACGATTTTGATTTCAGGGGGTTTACTGGTGGCGTATTGTCTGTCTTCTCTTAAAGGTTTTTCTGAATGCAGTTTGGCATGATATCGTATGGGCCGCCGTCGCTCATAGTTGACCATGGCTTGTGAATCTGACTCAGTGGACAGGGCAGCATTTAGATATCATTCAGAATTTTACCACATTACGATCAGAGACCTAAAGTTTGAGAAATTAATAATGAAGTTAAAAATTTAGGAAGAGTTAGCTTTTGACACTTCATGTCAAAATTTATATTTCTTTTACTTTTATTTTGTGAATATTTGCTTTGATTCTAAAGTGACATCTCTTGAAAATACCACTCGCGGACTACTGTTGATTAATTTATTCTTTGAATATTTCTACTTTGGAAATATGGAATCTTAGTAGCTTTGCAAACCTCCGT